AAAAAAAAAAAAAAAGCACGATTCGTTATACGGGTGGCGTTTAATGAAATAAAAATGTTAGCACAAAAAGAATAAAGGTAAACCAAAAGTAGCAATACTAAGAATTATTGAACGACGATCACACTCGGATGGTTCTGTCGATAGATGTCAAAAAGATGGGAACTGTGGTGGCGGTTCGGTTGGATTGGCGAACGGACGGACAAGCGGTACAGGTGTCAAGAAGATGACCGACTCGACGTACTATTGCGGTGGGGTATTCCAGAGGTTCTCAAAGTCAAATGAATCACGGACCCCCATCTAATGACCTACAGTTTTAAAGACCTAACCCTGATATGTGCTCGCGGACCCCTGGGGGTCCGCGGACCACACTTTGAGAAACTCTGGTCTACACTAGACTGTCATAACGCATTCACTCCACCCTGCGACACGCTCATCACACATCATACTATTCCTGTATAAATTTATTTTTGGTTATAGTACCCGTACACACGTGCGTGTCATCAATATTATATATATATAAACAAATTTTTATTTTGACTGACCATTATCATCCGCGTACATACGGCTTACGTATATATTTCTACTGCCGTTTATACCTCAGGTATAACGTTAGTCCGACCCGCCCGCCCACAAAACACGACTGTACCTAATGCATGATACGTTTACGTCGTTTTACATGTATATATAATCCAGTATCGTCATTTTTCGTCACTACCTCCACGTTCCGGGAGTGGGTAATTTACGCGCCTGCTGCTTTCCTTGGATGTGGTAGTTATTTCTCAGACACCCTCCCCGGAATCGAACCCTAATTTCCCGTTACCCGTTACAACCATGATATTAATAGTAACTACTATCATAACATGAAACTAAAAAGTGAAAATAAATATAGTTTAAAAAAACTAAAAAAACACGCTTTTAAAGCACATCGAACTAAAAAGTTAAAAATAATTTTTAAACTTATTTTAAAAATTATTTGTATAGTGATTTTAATCATTGTCAGATAGCATTATACTTGATCCAAGTATGTCACATCACCACTGTGCCGCGACCCCCCTGTTCTGGGTTTTTTTTATATCAATAATTTTAGCCTAATAAATTTAGTTCATGTCATGAAATTTTTATAAATAAATTAATTGAAACTATTTTTGTGTTTTATGACATAGAATGTATTACAGAACAATATAATAATTTAATTTTAGTATAAAGTAGCAATGCCAACTCTACGGAAAATACTGTATATCTGAATTTTCATTACTTTTTTTTCCTAGAAAAACAAATTTTCGGCTCTATGTGGGATATTGGTTACGTGCCTCTACTAAGAAAGTGTGTACAATTTTTTTAATTTACCAATTATTTATTTAAAATTATTAGCATAAGAGTAATAAGTATACAATATACATACATTGTAAATACCAATCCAATCATTAACACAAGGAACATATCCTTTAACACGAAGAGTCACTTCATTTTCTGTTTCTAATAGCCATTGTTGAATTTTATAAAATGTAACTCTTTTATTTTTTTCAATACAATTTTCACAACTCATCTGCTTTAAGATTTAATATTTATATTAATTTTACAACAAAAAATTATTATTTATTGAAAATAAAAATAACTTACATAAATACAAGCTTCTCCATAAACTGGTTTATGGTCACTTAATTTTATTGAGTCTATATGCTTATATGACTTCACATATAATCTAGATTCTTTTTTTAACAACAAATTACTTTTATATAATATACGATCGGTCCATGCTGGTCTTCTTCTAAATTAGCATTTAGTATAAGTAGATTTATAAAAAAAAACAATTACTTGTACATCAAATTTAATAATTAAAATAAATACTTGAGATCATAACAGCTACTGCCAACAAGAAAACGATAAGTTGGTGGGAACATAGGCATTGGTTCAAAAAAATCTTTGAATGCTCTACCATTTTTTTTTATATTATGCAGCTCTTCTACTGTCCAAAGTTCTGGTAAAGTATTAGCAGACTGATATGACAATTCTATGAGGTTAATTTTGTGTGAAATAAGTTCAGATGAAAATTCATTGGCTTTTTCTAATCGGAAGTTTAGGTCACCAAACCAAAATACATAACTATATTACAATTATTATAATTATTTAGTTAAACAAAATATATTACTTAACAAAATACTATTATTTGTTTAGAAAAATTGTATTAATTATTTCATAAAAGAAATTTAAAGAATTCTCTTAAAATTTGAGATTCATGCATAGTTATTTAAAACTGTTGGTTGATAAAATGCTAGTCTAATTCACTACATTATTTAAAATTTGGCTGGAATTTACCATACAGCTTTATATGGTTTTAAACAGTCCCTTAATAGCACTAAATTACTCATTAATAAATATTAAAAATAAAAGTATCAGTCTATCCTAGCTCAATTTGTAATGCATTGAGTTATTAAAGTGGTTTGAGAGGATTTGATTGAATTATAGATCTTCCCTAGATTCTATAAATTATCTGCATTTTGTTAAAATGTACTGTAATTAACTGTAATGGTGGTATTACATGATGAATACAGTGGAGAATATTTATTTTCCATTAGGTGTTAATGGGTTAGTTATCTATGATCAATCCTGAGGCAAGTATCAAGGAATTAGAGGAATATCAGAGATAAGGTCAATGAGGTCATATGAACGTGAGATGAAGGCCGTCTGCAATAGCCGATTTGAGAAGAAAGGAACAGACAGGAGAACCATTTTTGAAGATCACAAAGTGCTGGTTGTAATACTGTATTTATCGTAATCCTAAACTAAATTGTAACAATCTACATTATAACTAAATGCAATGAGAGCTTGCAATTGTAAAATTTTTAGTTCAAAGGAAAAAGAAAATGTGAAATAGTGTTATAAACAGAAAATGTTTATAGTTGTTAACAATAAACAATAGTGGCTCTGGGGAAAGCAAAGCAAACGCAGTACTCCCCAGAGACATCGATTCAAAGATAAAAAGAAGGTGTGAGTCAGAGTTATTCTATTTCATGTATTAATTCTGTATTTATATCTAGAGATATTTTTATGTTCCCAATGTGTGTTTTAGAGTCTGTTATTGCAATTTTGACTGCCTTATTCACTTTTTCATTCCCCTCAATTCCACAATGTCCTGGTACCCAGAGTAGAATACTAATTTTATACTTCAAAAGTTTTTTTTTTGAAATTTTATAAATTTTATTGGTAATAGTATTTTTATTGAGGTAAGTGGATATTTTTGATAAAATAATTAGTGAATTTGATGTTATTAGTGTTAAAAAGGTCTTTTTTTCTGCAATTTGTATAGTCAATAGAATAGCAAATGCTTCAGCTTTAGATATACTGCAAGATTTGTGATTTTTACATACAATGGCTAGCCCAGTAAAGTTTTCGGTTTTTGATGGGTTGGTGAAAATTAGAAATGAGTTTGCTGTATTTTTAATTTCTAGGTACAGGTTCCTGGATTAGTTCTTAGTTTTTTTTTTTTATGCTAGGTTAATTCCTTGTTAACAAGTTTCTTTTCCAGAATGAGTGGTTGTAATATTTATCTTTAATATGTTAACCGTGAATTTCTTTGGAATATGTTGTTGAAGTTCACATTGAAGATGTTTTTGTGTGTAAGGTCATTAAGTTGTTGTCCTATTCTAGTAACTTATTAAAATTGAAATTGTAAATTTTTTAAATATTATTAATAGGAGAAATGAAGTTAAAATCCTGTGATGTGTCTTGACCTGTGAAAATGTTCAGGACACATCTATGGTTTAGTTCAAATATCATATAAAAAATAAAATATACTACATAAAATAATACAAATAAAAAGTATCTTAGAATATTACTTACTCATGACTTAAGATTGATTTTTTAGACAAGCCAAAACATTGACTTTCAACAATATTATGGTAATTATTAATTCTATCATTCAAATATTCTTCATGGGGAGCCAAATGACAATTAATGAAACAAAGAGTAGTGTTGTATACTTTAAAACTAAAGCTGACAGCTCCTTTATTTCCCTGAGATATTAATTTGTTTTATACATATATTTATCATTCAAAAAAATAATGGAAATTAAATAATATACCCATAGACCAAAAAGTCCAGTTCTTGTTTCTGATGTTTCCATATGTGAAAGGTAAGGAACATGTTTTCGTCGACAGAACACATTAAGTAATAAGCCTACCATTTTTACAGTTCGAATTTTCACAAAATCAAAAGTACATAATATATCTCTGGAAAAAAAAATATATCTTATGAAAATTGTTAAATAATTTACAAAGGTATTAAATTAAAAAATTATAAATACATTATACCTTATAGCTGTAGTCCATGGATCATCAAATAATGAATCTAGTACTAAGTTTTGTGGTTGAGATTTAACTTCTTGAAATCTGACAAAATTAATCAATTTAACATATTTGGATACAAAATAATAAGTTTGAGTTTTTATTTATTTTGGCACATTTGAATGTTGAATTTAAAAGTAATAATAAATAATGAAAGATATATATTTAATTAAATTTTATATTTTTAACTTATATGATAAATTTATATTACAGCACAATCTATTTTTATTAACCATCATATAAAATACTATCACTGTTTAATAGTGGAATTCTAGAGAGGCCTATCATATACTATATTATATTTATGTAAAATAATATTTTAATGATATCTATCACACATTACATTTTTTCAGAATCTACCTACCCAAATATACAAAAATCGGGAATAGCTTCTTCGTTTTTACTTTCCCATTGCAATAGATTTTTGATCGATTGATTAGGAGATTTTGTGCATACATTATATGTTACAGTATAAAACCTAAAATAAGGAAACATTTATTTTAAATAAAATTGAGTATATAACAAAATAACATTACTCACGTTAATTCTTTCATTTTTCTACACCCATATGAAATTTTAATTAATATCTTTGACTTTCAATAATTTAATACTAATTGAATTCAATTTGTTTGAGTTTAATAGTTAAGATATAATTGTTCAAAAAATGTAACAAAATCTCTAGTATATCAATTAAACCAAAAAAAAAATTATTATTTTTAAAATAAAACCATAAAATCTTATTCAGTGAATATGTATTATACCTTACACTTGAAGTAATATTAAGCATTAGTTTTTGTGATAAAAAATTATAAAATATTAATCATACGAGAGTCTTATAGATTTTTAAAGGTAGGGAGTCATTATGCTAGTCACTTTCTATATTATTGTAATTATATAACTTACAATTACTATTTTGGCAATTACCACCACTATATTTTGTTAAATGAAACAACATTACACTACACATAAGTGATACGATCAAAAATATTAAGCGTCAAATTCCAATTTGAGATTATATATAGTAATAATAATAATTGCTTTATGTAAATAAGATTGACTTAAGTAGGATAATTGTGTATTTTAGTTTGACAGATATATTATCAATATGAATATAATGTTATCATAACAATTGATAGTAATGTGAACTTGACCTAAATATTAAAATCATCCATTCTAGGGTTGTTACGTTTTAAAGACTGCTTGTTTAAAACAACAAAAATGTCAAAATTGACATTGGTCTTATAGGACGTTATAAATTTTAGCTTCAATGCGAAGATGAGAAGGTATTAATTTTATTATGATGTGTTTTAATTTGAATATAATATATAGAATAATTTATAATGAAGTATTTATTGATGAATTAAGTTTGACATGATAATGGGTGCCAACTATAAAACTAAATCATTTTACTTTGTTTTTTATTAATTTCTTGACTATGGCATACTACCAATCTAAAATGTCTGTGAACGCTCATTCTCGACTCTCACTGGAACAATTTTGTTGAACAATGCGTCAAAAGTTCACAAATTGAATCTAGTTGAAGACATTACCCTTAAAAATTGAAAAAAATTCCCTCGTCCCCCTAAATGGGGGAAATTTCCAAAAAAATTACAATTTTGGCATTATTTTTAATTTTAGCTTCGATGCGAAGCTGAGAAGGTATTAATTTTACCATGATGTGTTTATTTTTTTTTTTTTTTGTGTCTGTCACTACTTTTTCTCAGCTCTCACTGGACCGATTTCTTTTAACAATACGTCAAAAGATCACAAATTGTATCTAGTTGAAGACATTACCCTTAAAAATTTAAAAATTTTCCCTCGTTCCCCGCAAATGGGGGAAATATCCAAAAAAATTACAAATTTAAAAATCGACAAATTTTGTCATTTTTTTCACTTTTTTTTCTTAAAACTTCCATAACTTTTTCAAAAATCAACAAATCAACATAATTTTTTTTTAAACTAAAACCTTAGATATTTTCCTTTCATTTGATATAATTTTTTTGAAAATTTAACACTTAACCTGCTCATGGGGGGGGATTTAAAATTGCAACTTTTTTACAAAAACTAACTTTTTCAACTTAATTTTTGAAAATGTTCCGGAAATACTGCGTCCTTTAAACATATATCAAATTAAAGCTTATTTTATGTACTATAAAATGAAAAAAAAAAATTTGTCCCGACACTTTATCTTCTGCATGTAAACGGTTGCCGTAGTTAAAAAAACACTATTTTTGTGTTAAAATTTTCGATTTTCAATTTTTAATTTTCAACTTAAAAATGCTATAACTTTTCGAAAAATGCATGTATCAGCACAATTTTTTTTTTTCTAAATACATTATAAGTACATCTTCCATTTGACATACTTTTTATTAAAATTAGACAATTTCCCCTTATATAGGGGGGGTTCAAACTTTGAAACATTGTATAAAAAATAGAACTTTTTCAACTGAACTTTTGAAAATGTTCCGGAAATACTGCGTCCTTTAAACATATATCAAATTAAAGCTTTTTTTATGTACTATAAAATGAAAAAAAAAAATTTGTCCCGACACCTTATCTTCTATGTGCAAATGGCTGTCGAAATTATAAAAAAAATGTAATATTTGCGATAAAAATCACCTTTTATAACGATGTTTTTTGTACTTAAAACTGCCATAACTTTTTCAAATATTAACTAATCAAAATAATATTTCTTTATATTGAAACCTTAGGTAATTTTCTTTCATTTGATATCATTTTTTTTTGAAAATCTAACACTTATTCTGCTCACAGGGGGGATTTAAAATAGCAACTTTTTTACAAAAACTAACTTTTTCAACTTAATTTTTGAAAATGTTCCGGAAATACTGCGTCCTTTAAACATATATCAAATTAAAGCTTATTTTATGTACTACTAAATGAAAAAAAAAAATTTGTCCCGACGACCTATCTTCTATGCGCAAAAGGCTACCGTATTTAAAAATATGCTATTTTTTATTAAAATTCTAGGTTTTGTATTTTATTTTATTTTAAAATATTTTATTAGGGGAATAAACTGACTTTCATGAATATTATATAATTTCATTGACATAGAATAAAGTTCATAAGACATATGATATTATACTTATTAACATTTTTTACTTTTTTAAAGTCGAAAAAGTAATTTTTAAATTTGAGTTAGCTTAAATAGCCAATTTTATCATGCAACAAAAATCAACGAATAGTTGCCGAATGGGTAACACCTTGATCTTTAACGCCTAGGGTACGAGGTTCAAATCCGTTTGTGGCTTCTAAAATTTTGCATTTTTTTTTTGAGTTAGAATAGAATTTTCAAATCATTTGATATTTATCTCATTTAGATTCAATAATTTCAATAAATATAAAGGATCTTATCACTATAGTCTCCCCTCGTGAGAAGAAATTGATATTCATGTTAATATTATTTTACTATGTGGTTCTTTTTCTGGCTACGATTTATTTTGCCAACCCTCACTAGACCTACTTTTTTCAACGATACGTCAAATGATTCATTTAAGTTTATGATATTTAAGTTAATGATTAGTTTAAGTTATTACTCTTAAAAATCAAAAAAATATTCCTTATTCAAATAAAAAGTAGCTTAACTAGATTTGTCCATACAAACAATTAAAATCATTAATTTTTAATATTCTTAAATTATTTATTGTCGAATTAAATTTGATATGATAAAAGTATTCAACTACAAAAGTAAATAATTTTACTTTATAATTTATTAATTTTTTAACTCTATTTCTGTGTGCTACTACCAGTCTATAATATGCCAAATTTTTTAGTAATATGTTGCTATATAAATCATAAATTTAAAAAAAAAATGATTTTTAGTTTCACCTGAAGTTAACGATGGAGTTTTACAATTATAATTATATTTTTGATAATATGCTCAATTGAGTAAATCTTTTTAACTACTTTGGTTTGATTGGTTCATTTAATTAAAGTAAATTATTAAAATTAATTAAGTTCTGAATATTTCAATTGCAGAATTTTTTTAAACACCAAAAGTTATTAGGATATGATTACTATTCTTTCTATTTCAGTTATCTATTACGATAAAAATGTAAAAAAATCGAATTTTTCTGACAAATGTACTGTAATTAGTAATTATAAAATTTCCAGATTGCATATTAATCTTAAAAATTTCATTTTTTTCAATTTAATAATGTCAATTTCAAACTTGCAAGTTGAACTATAAGTTATGGTAACAAATTCATTTTTTAGCTTCGATGCGAAGCTGAGAAGGTATTTTTCATTAAAACTTTCACTTTAAAAGACAATAAAAAATAGGTTCAAAATGATTACCTTTAACATATTAAAAATCAAAATCAGTATTAATTTAATACAATTTTTTTTGTTCTTAATTATTTTTTTTTATATGTAAATACTTATTTTTTAATAATAAGTAATAATATTAAAACTTAGAAGTAATAGAAAAAGTTTAATTGCACATTTGAAAACATCACGAAAAGTTTATTTAGAAAAGTATATTTTTTTTCTGATGAAAGTTCCTTTTGTTTAGTGTATTTATTCATAAGTAACAAAATTTTTTTATTAAAAAGTATTGCATAAATTCCTTTAAATTTGTATACGCATTAAAAGTATATGAATATACAACTCCTTTTTATTTTTATAATATCTCCGTAAAAATTACAATATTATATTATTGAATACCACTTTCATACTCAATTTAATTACTGTAATTATTATGTATTCATATATTATAGTTATAAATCGGGGTAAAATTAAGGGAATAAGTGTTATTGTTGTTTTTGAAATAATCTACCAATTTAATTTTTTTCTATTTAATAATATTTATTTCAAACTTGCAAGTTGAGTTAAAAGTTATGGTAATAAATTCATTTTTTTTTTATTAAAACTTTCACTTTAAAGAACAAAAAGAAGTAGGTTCAAAATGATTACTTTTAACATATTAAAAATCAATAATAATTTGAAAATAATTAATTATAAAAATTATATAATATATAATTAAACTAATTACTAATCTGGATATAATTAAGGAAATAGGAGTTGTTATGGTAATAATCCCTTTGGTAATAATTCCTTATAATGCTACAACTCATTGAAAAGTGTACGAATCAACACAATTTTTTTATGAGAAATAATATTTTTTAATAATCCCTTTTTCATTCGACATACTTTATCTTAATCAGGGTATTAATAAGAAACTAGCAGATAATGTAGCTTTTGTAATTATCCACCAATTTCTTAGAATTAAACACTATCTACTGATTTGCATCGAAGCGTTTCTTATGATAGTGATTTTAATCACTGTCAGATTAAATCTATACTGGACCCAACTATGCAACATCCCCACTATCCCGCGACCCCACTGTGCTGGGTTTTTTTTCTTAAAACTACCATAACTTTTTTAAAAATTCTTTTTTATATTTTAACTATATAATGCTATAACTTTTTGTATGGATTAATATAATTTATTTTTATAGATGCATGATGTCTTTACCTATCATTTGGTATATTCTTTTTTAAAAATGATCAAATCAATATAATTTTTAGCTTCGATGAGAAGCTGAGAAAGTATTACTTTTACTATGTGTTTTTTTGTGTCTGTTAAAAATTTTTCTCAGCTCTCACCAAACCGATTTCTTTTAACGATACATTAAAAGATCACAAATCGTATCTAGTCGAAGACATTACCCTCAAAAATCGAAAAAATTTCCCTTGTTCCTCGTAAATAGGGAAACCTCCAAAAAAAAATACAAATTTAAAAATCGCTAATTTTCGAAATATTTTCCTTAAAACTGTCATAATTTCTTCAAAAAGTAACAAATTAATATAATTTTTTTTTTATAGATGCATGAAGTCGTTATCTATCATTTGGAATATTTTTTTTTTTATAAATCTGACCGTTTACCTGCCTACAGGGGGGGATTCAAAATGACAATTTTTTCACAAAAATTTACCTTTTCAACTTAACATTTGAAAAAGTTCCGGCAAGTCTGACACTTTTATATATATCTTAAATAATAATGTAATGTACTTTATTATGGAAAAAAAATTCGAATTTTATTTTGTCTTCATGGTGAAAATGACTACCGTATTCACATATATGTTATTTGTATGTTAAAATTCTAAGTTTTGTATTTTTTTTTTTTTTAAATACCTTTCTAGGGTAGTACACAGATTTTTAAAAATATTATATAAATCTAATTGGCATGGCATAGAAAGGTAAACTTATTTATTTTTTTTTGGTTCTTTTAAGCCGAGAAAAATAACTTTAAAATTTGAACTAGTCATTTTTTATTCGACAAATGATTCGTACGGTTGTGTAATAAACCAAAAAGAATAGAAAATATTAGATGAAAGTGTAATATAAAATATAAGGGTAAGGTAGAATGTAGAATTGATATATAAAATATAAAGAAAAATAGAATTTATGTAAAATTGTTTGGAATGTTACATTTTTTTTAATAAATAATTTCTATTATTAATTCTCCTATTTAATTTTTATAAATCGTTTATTACGCAATAGATTGTTGGAGGTTCGTAAGCATAGGTTAAATTATACTTATACGTCCTATATGTAATGCAATACTATTTCAAGTAATTCAATGTTGATTTTGGCATTAAATGCACTACGTATACGATTTGCACTACAAATCATATAATTAATATAATACTTATAAAAATAATACGATTTAATTACACAAAATTTATGACTGATTTTACTTGTAAAATATCCTAAACACTATATTTTATTAGAAATATAATTTATAATTTGTCTTTATTAATTTTTTACATTTATTAAATATTACGTATATGTCAGCTTAAGCTGATAAAAAGGAATGAGAAAAAAAAAATTACTATGGAAAAGTTTTAGCCTTTGTTCCTCCCCCAAAGAAGTCAACAAATTGTGCACAAGTTTTTTCTTTGTTCAGTTCATAAACATAAATTCTACATCCTTGAGCAATATGTGTTTTTATTCGTATTTCGTAACACTCCGTTTATAGCTCAATTAAAATTACAGCAAAATCTTTTGTCTCGTTAAAGAAAGTTCCTAATAAGAAATAAAAATATGGAGCAATGTTTCTCACGAAAGTAAGATGGAAAATATTAATTAAAAAAAGCAAAATTGGGTACTATGTAGATATCACTACTTTGATAGGCGAACTTTTTTAGAAGAGAGGAGTTTGAAAATATGACACATTTTCAGTTTTTGTTATAAAACCTGATTGTATAAACCTTAGTTATAGAATTTAATTATGATTATTAAAAAATAGACTTTAGATTAATAACTGAAAATACAGTTAACGTTTCAGATAAATCTAATGAGCTTAAAGACAACTGTATCTTCATTAATTGTAATTATTACTGCACATGGTTTCAGGGTTAATAAAAACACAACAATTATGGTAAAAAAAAAATTTTACATATATATATATATTTTAAAACTATGAATCAATATATTTTGTTTGTTTAATATCATTTGTTTATTTTTGAAACAAACAAAAATCACATTTTTTAATTTAATATCTTTGTATTTCTTTTTACATAGGCTAATGATTAACAATAGAGTAAGACATACTTCTTTTTAATACATTTGGGTTTCTAACAATTTAATTTCGTTTTTAAATATTTATTTTTTGACAGATGAAACCAATCACCTAATTGAAATACCTTACATAGAAATTATCAAGAAAAGAACAAACAATAGATAATATTTTAAAAACAGCCGTCAAAAGAATGAATTAAAAAATTTGTCTAAATAGAACTAAAACTAAAGATAAAGAACAGTCTGGAAAAGTTAGTATTAAATTAATAATAATAATTATGTTCTTTCAAAAAATTAAAAATTAAATTTACTTAGGAATATGATGACTTAAGTTACCCGAAGTTTCATTGTGTGTGCATCCAAAAACTTCCACAAATCCGGATACTATTCAACAATCTTAACTAGTTTAATTATACCAACAGATTATACTACAAACTATATGCACAATTGCAACAATTAAACTTCGGGTTTCAAAAATAAAGAATGTTAACTATATACAAGTAATATATCCATAGGATAATTACAAAATTTGCTTTTTTTTTTTTTTTTTAATTGTTGATTTTCTTAAATTATATATATAGCAACTTTGATATTAGACCAAGTGATCAAGCTACTGTAAAAAAAAAAAAAAAATTATAGCCATTATACATTAATATATATTTTTTTACTTTATGCTACAAACCTACAACTCTTTGAGGGGATACTGCATTTGTTTGACGTTGATCTTGTTTATTGGTTTGTCTAGGTCTGTAATTGTTATAACCACGGCTTCCCGGATTGTTACGGACATATCCATTATTTGGACGGAAGTTATAGTTCATTCCTTGACGGTTGTTATAATTACTATTATTATAAGTATTAGGATTTTGACGATAGTTAGGGTTATTATTATAATAACCACCACGACCACGATATTGTCCACGCCTAGCCATAGCCACACCAAAAGTTTCAGAGTTAAGTTTTCTCTCTTGACGCCAATCTGTTCTCTGATTATGCCTGTTTAAAATAACAATACTAATTAGTCAATAATTAAAAAATTGAAATTGTAATTATTACCCTTTACTTCTTTCTACAGCTTCACAGCTTATTTGGTCAAAGAAAGACTTAGTTTTATCATAAAATATCTTTTGATCATCATCGTCATTTTCTGTAATAGCTCCTTCAGGAACACTGTCTACACGATTTAGTTTTTTTCCAGTAAGGTGTTCACTATCATTAGAATGTAGAGCTGTGTCACCATTTACAGAACATTCACTTCCATTAACTACAGTTACTTCTTCAGTTTGTTCTTCAGTACCATCATCTATAAATTAAGCATTTTACTTATAGTTTAAAATAATTTCAATTTAATTGACAGTTGATATAAATATAATTAATTACCGCTGAAAATTGGAAAACCGCATTAAAAAAAATATATACATTTACAAAATATATAAATTTTAAAACTACTGAACTTCTTTTAAAACATACTGATGCAAATTAAATTTTAATAGAATACACTAAAGAAAACAAATCTTTCTTTTGGTATACTGTTTGTATTCAATGTGAAACCTAAGTATAGGGAGGGTTTGAAAGTAACTACCTACAATGTGAATTTTTTTTTTTCAACCTAAGTTATGAGACTGTTACAAAAGATCTTACAATTTTTAACCTATATTAAATTTAAGCCTTTGAAATATATTATAATATTTAAATAAAATTGTAATTTAATAAAGACACTTCCTTCCATACAAAACTAGAAGAAAATAATAAAAATAACAAACCAATTTTTGTTCTTGACAGTTTTTTAATGATTTCTTGAAATTCACTATTGGCCTTATCAAAATCATAATCTTCATCAAACTTGAGAGAATTTGTTCTTAGACCTTGTGCTTTACTTGGAGCTGGAAGACCAGTTGATCTGTTGTTATAAAATGATCGACCAGTGGAATTGGGAATTACTCCTTGGCGCCTTACTTGTTGTTGATTCTGTTGATTATTCCAATTTCGACCATTCATATTACGATTACCTCCTTGACGATTAACCTATACATTTTTTTTTAGAACAAATAAAATAATTAGCTGTAATTTTTCCCTCTATTTTTATTAAACGATAAAATACATACAAAGTTATCTTGGTGTTGAAAATCATTTCTTTGGTAATGTTGATCATTTCTTTGATAATGTTGATCATTTCTTTGATAATTTTGTCTTCTTAGATTAAAAATATTATTCTCATTACATACAATTTTATTATTAAAAACCATATAAAGCAAATAAACTTTACCCTTGTTGCCTAACAGGTTTGCGAGTGTCTGAAGAAGTAGATCGATTACGTTGATTTCTACCATTTCTATTATTACCAGGACTTGGTTGTTGGCCAGTTTGCACACTTTGATCAAAAGTAGGACTATTTCTTTGCCCATTAAATGTTGGTTGAGCAGGTGTAGATGAACGGGAGCCTCCAGAAATTAAATCTAAAACATCTACAAAAACAGAACAAACTAAATCATAATATTTTATTAATAAAAACTATTGTATAGATCCATAATGTAACTAGAAATAATTAGTCCAAAAGAGTAAAATGTTGAATATGAAAAAATTACAAAAACTTTAAGATAAATAAAGTGCCTGGCGTTAAAAGAATATAGTTTTTTTAGACAATATTCAGTAGAATTTGTTAATTTAAAATATCTTTTGAGACTAATAAAATTGATCATAATTTTTATTAAACATTTATTTAATCATTTTTAGAGTACAAAGCCAATGCAAAACTATAACATGCAAATTTGCAAATAATTGGGCTATGAACCTTTGAAGCATATAGCAGTGATTCAGCAGAACAAAATTAGACAAATATTATGGTAAAAAAATAGTTCAAAAAACTAATTTATAACTATAATTTTTTTTTTAAAGGTCTCTTTTAATAGAATGTAATTTTACATTTTGTACAAAACTGTATGATTTTATTTTTATAAATTAAATGAAGAAAGATTTTCTTTAAATTTTTTTACTTAAAATAAAAAATTTGAGTAAAAAATAAATTAATAACTAATAAAAAATCACTTTTGAAAGTAGCATGCAAAGAAAAATTCTATTTTCAAGCTTTAATCTATTATTATTTGAAATTATTCTTTTAATGTAACAAAAATAATACTAGATATGAAAAGTTATATTAATTTTCTAATTACTTTCCCATAGTATTAAAAATATGAAGTAATTTATATAAGTACGTTTCTAAGATAATTAACTAGGGACAACAAAAATTGTTCTCCAGTTTTGTAGTGTTTTTTTTTATAGTGATTTTAATCACTGTCAGATATCATTATACTTGATCCAACTATGCCACGTCACCACTGTGCTGTGAACCCCCTGTACTGGGTTTTTATAATTGTATAACTAGTAAAAATTATATAAATAACAATCATAAGAACATTTCAAATTTGGCTAACAGTAAGAAAAAGACAATACAATAATACCCAACAGCAATATGTACAAGCATGCTAAATATACCAAAGCATTTGGTTTTGAGTATGCATGTACATACCAGTTTGGGCAGGCCTTTGTTGCGACTGTTGATTAACTTGTTGTTGGTCTAAGATCAGAGATGACTCACTTGACGGTTTGTGTGATGTTCCAGCATTGAGATTTACACCAGACATGGGATTGTATGAGTTTCCAACTTGACTGGCAGAATTTAAGTCATCCATTGTAGGTTGGTAATTAGAATTATATCCACCCATAGTATTTGGAGGAACGGATAACTATAAAAATATAATGACAAATTATATATATAGTTTTTTTTTTAATACTAAAAAATTTAAAATTTACCTGAACAATTGCAGGATCATTGAGGGGTATTTGTGGAGTAATAACTTTTATGTCCTTAATATCAGACCCACGGAATAAAATGTAATTGTAAATTTGACTTTGTGCAGGAACTTTGAACTCTGTCAAACGATCTTCAGTACCAAAGGATTGAACTAAAACATTGCAATACAAAATTTAAGTAAAATATGAAAACCATACATATATTAAAAATACTATCGTCACTATTTTAAATCATCTTATAATATATGATTAGGTATCGCTAGAAAATTAACTATGAGACATCATAATAATATAATCATACATAATATATATATATATATATATATATTACATTATATACCAGCAATAGAGAAATAACTAAAAAAAAAATCTTAGTATAAAAATTTAGAAAAATCTCAAGTTATATCACTATTTTTGATAGAATAATATATTAAAATATATGTTTTGTTCTTAAAGTATTAATTTCAGAAGTTTTTTTTATCATTAATTAACTACTGAAGATAAATTATATACTCAAGTATCATGGCCATATTTTCCCTAAAAAGAAGATTTCTTTATTTTTCTATAAAACATATTGTTAAATCTTGAAATTTATCTGTTTTTAAATCATAAGAAAAAATAAAATTTAGATCTTTAAAAACTAATTTAAAAATTTATGTCAAATGCATTTAAAATGTAAACCTTTTTTTTTAATGAATAATAATAGTTTTTAATAAATTAAGAATTTATGATGATACAAAAAAAAAAAAAAAAAATGCTATTCTAATCTATGTTATTTTAACATATTAAATTATTAACACAGTTTATGTCAATATCTTGTCTTATTTTCTCTAATTTTAACCTAATAAAATTATTAATTGTAATGAATATATTATCAATATAAATTTCTAGATATCTTACTACAAACATTTAGTTTTACATAATACAATTCATGTTGTTAAATACAAAAATACCTTTGTTACTAATAAAGTTTAAGGCTTTTGATTCCTGAATAATTTTAATAAATAAATAACCAGTTAATGCATTAAGTCTTTCAAGTAAAAAATAATTTTAACAGTCTTGTTTTAAAAGGAATAAGTAGATTTATGATTCACTTATAGTTAAGTTAAAACATATATGTTTTTGAGAAATAAATCTAAAAAGTCAACTAATGGATATAAAAGTAAAATATTTTATGAAATAATTGTACAGATTATATAAAAATTACTTTACAGTAACATCAAATTAAAAACAGCTTATATTTTACTTAAATATATATTCCATAAATAATTTAGTTTTAACATGTTTTCAGTCATTTTAAAAGTATGACAACTATTTACTTTGAAAAAATCTTTTGATAAATCTTAGAGTAATATCAATTTAATAAATGCAATGAATTTTAGTAAAACGATTCTAATTTCATACAATTTCCTTTAAATATATTTTTTCATATCAAATTATTTTAATGAAAGTAAATAATTTACTTTACTACAATTTATCTATGTATAATTATATTCATAGATAATAATAAAAACATGGTAATATATTTATTTGATAGACAAACTAAAATAAAAGTGCGAAGATTTCTTCAACTAAATTAGTACTTAAAGGGTAAATCTTATTGAATTTAGTTTTCATCATAAATGTAATAACCGATAATAATGGGAAATCACGGAACTGAAGATAAGGAAATCTAATTTTAGAAACATTTTTTAACAATTTATACTACAATAATTATTAGAAAAAATTTGATTTTTTGGTTTCAAATAAAAAGAACAAATGTTTATTAAATTTGATAAAAATATTTAGCCAATGTTCCGTTTTAGCATAGAATCGTTTTTCTGGAGAAATTAATAATACACACATTGTAATACTTAATAACTTAATTACATAAAATAATAATTACCATGAGACAATGCGATAGTACATTCTTGGGGATCGACTGTAAATAATTTTCCTTCATATCTAATATCAGCCTTCGATATAAGACTTATTTTACTTCCTAGCTCTGGCATACTCATCTTGAATGATTTTATATTATTCTAGCTATGGTGTTAGTACGTTAAATATTAACAGAGTAAGTCAAGTTTAGAATACAACTTAGAAGAACTATTTAAACAAGAAATAATATACTATATTTAAAATCAACTGAAAAGATGTCAGTACAAACGTTACATCTCCAAGAGGAAAATAAAATTTACACGAGAGAAGATCTTTACAATAGCAGCAAAACGACGCAAATGACGTTCATCTAAGCCGTCGCCATTTTCATAATTCATTGTAGATCGGTAGGTGTTGAACAGTGTAACCAACATATTAGTCACGTGTGAATGAAGTTTAATGCATTTTTTTTTCATGTATTACATTTCCCTTGGAATTTTGATAGATTAATTTTTGACAAGATCAAATTTACAAAATTTTATTAATTAAATAATTAATTTTTTTTTTATTTTAATTAAACTTGATTACGAATGTCAGAACTTATGATTACATTTCAATTTAAAAATATGAATGTTATCAATTAAAAGGATAACTGTTAACTATTTTTTTATGTAATTCATAATTAATTTTTACATAACATACTAAAAATAAAATATGTCACTTAATAATAAATTGTTAGGCTAACATTATAATTTGCGAAGCGTAAAGCAAATTATATTTTCAGAATTCATCCCAATCTACAAACAACCAAATAATTTTTTTCTAATCGTTTTTTGTAGGTAATTTCTTAGTGTTTGATACCCAGGATAAAGACTTCAGGTTACCAGCATCCGATTAATGGTACAATGAAACCAAATTTTGAAAAAAGTTTTACCTTTAAAAAATTCTAATACTTTATACTTTTAATACTAATACCAATACTTTTTAATGTACTAATGACTTTTAATTTTTTTTAGCTTAAATATTAAATATTTAAGCTACATCATAAATTTTTCTTCTATAATTCTATACATTTACGTTCATGATATTTAGTCATTGTGAATATTATTAGGATTTAAATATTTATAAAACGGACGTTTTAACAGTCGACTGTGACGAAATTAGAGTTATTTTTGGATTATTCAAAAGTTATTCTTTAATATAAGATTGAAAAAACATGTAATAAATTTATGAATACTAATGGAATTAAAAGATTTATTATATTAAGGATTATAAAGAGATACAAATAAAATTTTATATTGCATTTATATTCATAATAAATTAAAATTTTGATTCTGATGTTTCTAGTTTCGATGCGAAGCTGAGAAGGTATTGGTTTTACAATGATGTTTTTTTTTTTTTTTTTTTTGTGTTTGTTACCACTTTTTCTCAGCTCTCACTGAACGGATTTCTTTCAACGATACGTCAAAAGATCACAAATCGTATCTAGTCGAAGACATTACCCTCAAAAATTGAAAAAATTTCCCTCATTCCCCGTAAGTGGGGGAAACCTCCAAAAAAATTACGAATTTAAAAATCGCTAATTTTCGAAATTTTTTCAATTTTTTTTACTAAAAACTACCGTAATTTTTTCAAAAATGAACATATCAATATAATTTTTTTTTTATAAATGCTTGATGTCTACCTATCATTTGGTATATTTTTTTTGTAAATTTGACCCTTTATCTGCCCACGGGGGAATTTTAAATGACAACTTTTTCACAAAAAATTTACTTTTTCAACTTAACATTTGAAAATGTTCCGGAAAGTCTGACACTTTTATATATATCTTAAATTAAAGCTAATGTAATGTACTTTATTATGAAAAAAGAAAATTTGACCTCTGGACTTGTCTTCATGGTGAAAATGGCTACCAAATGCTATTTTTGTGTGAAAATTCTCGATTTTATTTTTTACATTTTTAACATTATAATGCTATAACTTATTGAAAAGTTTATGGATCCACACAATTTTTTTATGACAAATAATATTTTTTAATAAACCCTTTTTCATTCGACATACTTTACCTTAATCAGGATATTAATAAGGAACCAGCAGATCAAGTAGCTTTTGGAATAAAACACCAATTTTTTTAAAATTAAACACTATCTAAAGATTTGCATCGAAGCGTTTATTTTTGATAGTGATTTTAATCACTGTCAGATATCATTTACTTGATCCAACTATGCCACGTCACCACTGTGCCGCGACCCCCCTGTGCTGGGTTTTTTTTAAATTAAAGCTAATGTAATATTCTTTATTAAGAAAAAAAAAAATCCGAATTTTGTTTGTCTTCACGGTGAAACCAGACATCGAAGTTAATAAAAAAAATACAATTTTTGTAAAAAAATTCTTTTTTATATTTTTAACTTTATAATGCTATAACTTTTTGAAAAATGTATGGATTAATATAATTTTTTTTTTATAGATGCATCAAGACGTTACCTATCATTTTTAATATTTTTTTTTATAAATCTGACCTTTTATCTGCCCACAGGGGGGATTCAAAATGACAATTTTTTCACAAAAAATTAACATATTCAATTTAACTTTTGAAAGTGTTCCGGAAAGTTTGACACTTTTATATATATCTTAAATTAAAGCTAATGTAATGTACTTTATTATGAAAAAAAAAAGTTTGACCCCTGGACTTGTCTTCATGGTGAAAATGGCTACCGAATGCTATTTTTGTGTGAAATTCACGATTTTATTTTTTACATTTTTAACATTATAATGCTATAACTTTTAAAAAATGTATGGATCGATACAATTTTTTCATTAGAAGTAGTATTTATATACATTTTTCATTCGACATAATTTTTTTTTAAATCAAACTATTTTCTTATATACGGGGGTGTTCAAATCTGAAAAATGTATATAGAAAGTAGAACTTTTTCAACTTAATTTTTGAAAGTGTTCCGGAATGTCTGACACTTTTATATATATCTTAAATTAAAGCTAATGTAATGTACTTTCTTTCTTTTCTAAATAATCAGTACTACTTTTGTTACATTATATTTTGTAAAATAAGCTTTAATAATTTTTTTCAGAGCACTTTTACTGACTGTTTTATTTAATTTTTATTATATATAATAAATATATATTATGTTTTATTAAACAGTTATTCTATGGTAAAATAACAAGATTTTTATTTTTAATTTTTTTTTTTAACGAAAAACTTATAATAGATAAAAACGAGTTTTTCTGGTAAAATCTCAAAAAGATTTTATACATATTATAAAAATTGTACCTTGAATTTTATAAGGGTTATGTAGAATGATGGTGGCAGGGGGAATCATCCAAATCTTTAGGGAACAAAAATGTTTACACAGAATTTTAGGTACACAAATTAAAATGAATGAAGCATCTGTTTTTAAAATATAAATAAAATATTTAAAATATGTACATAAAAGTACAATGATTTGTATACTTTAAAAATTAAATTAAAACAATTGATAAAACAAACTTTAAAAATTTAATAACTAAAAATATTAGATAGACCAAAATATTAGTTTTTAAAACATGTGTGTATAGATTCTCTAATGACAAAAAAATATAAATGAAAAAGTACTACTAATTATTTATAATTGTTTAAAAATATACTTTATTTATATTTATAATTTTATTTATAAGATAGCTTTTAAAAAGCAATATATTGTGTATATTAGATTAAATATTTATAATTTGTAGCAATAAAGTTGCATGAGTTTTAAAAATATAATAATATATGGACATATAGAGTAACCGTGGAATTTAGGCATTATTGATAAATAATATTATGAAATAAAGTATATAAAATATATCTTAAAATAATTTGAAAAACATTGAACTTCTGCCCAATGAAAGTCAATTACATCAGTTTTTAATAAAACAATGACTGGTTAACAAACAATGACCGAATGAGGTTGCTTATTAGTAAATAACCTGAAATAACCATAATTATTATTTAATAGTTCAAATTATGTAAATGTTTATAAGTTATAATAAATAATTCTATTAGTTATAAATTTAAAAAAACTTAAGTTACGTACTGGCACAAAGTTTGAGCAATAATTTTTTTATATACATTCATTCTTAACAGTTTCTTGAAGAAATTTATGTAGTTGATCATGATCTCTTTTTAACCATGCAGCATTTAATCTAATAGTTTCACATGCTTGTTGAATAGTTCTTTCAGCACCCATACAACCATTTTTTTTGAAGAAATTCTCAACTTCTTCAGCTTTTTCAATTGACGCAAAATTTTCTGTTGTATTTTTTACCAAACGAGTAAGTAAAAATCCACCCTAAAAATAATAAAATTATAAAACATAATATATTTTTTCATTTTTTATTTAGATAAAATCGCTATTATTGTTAAATATAATAAATTAAAGAAAAAGTAGAAAGGAGTATGTAACAAGTAATAATAATAAAACATTTAAAAAATAACTTAAAAACATGGTTAACATACATGGTAATTGTTTTACTACAATTCACAGAATATCTCTAAAAATTAAAAACATAATATACTATTTTATTTTCAAAAGTTAGTAGTATCTTATATTTTATAATTTTAAAGGGGTCTAAACCAAACCAAACCCTTCTCGTTCTATGATAAAATTTTATCAACTTTTGTTTTTAAACAGAATCATATTTTTCTAACCAGTATACAAATAAAATAATGACTGATTGACAATTTTTGAACCAGTCTTGTAAAAGATATCATACTATGGTGGTAGGAGTAGTGCAATACTTGTTTAATGATAAAAATAAACAGACCAGAGTTACACCTCAAGTTTTAACAATAAAGTGTTAATAAATTCCAAAATATTGTTTCAAATGTTAACTGATCATTTCCTAACTTTTAAGCTAGTTAAACATATACATTTTTATTTAAAAAAACAAAAAGTGATAACATTTTTACAGTGGAAGAAGGGAGCAAGATACCCTTAGAATTATAGAACATAAGATGATATTAAATTCTAAAAAGAAACAATAAATTTATGTTTTATATTTTAAAAGATATTACTTAATTTATACTTCAATAATCATAATTTAATAAGAGGTTTTGGTATAATAATCAGATAAGTTTATTTTTTTTTAATTTTCAGAAACAATATTTTTAACTATAAATCAATGGTAAAATTTTTTTTGATATTTAATATTTAAAAAAATAATAGGAGTATAGCATATGTATTTGCACTAATTACACAGATATAATAATAATTCAAAATTAACAAAAATTAATTTTCTAAAAATGTTGAATTTTTTTTATTGCTGCACCATGTCTTTCAATTTAAATAATATTTAACTAAAAAAAAATTATTGGTTTTAAAAAAATATTTCAATTTGATATTAACCTGATACTGATTAAATAGTTTAGTCCAATTATCTTGTATGAACTGCCAAGCTAAATCTCTACCAACCTTTGAGGCACCAACAGATATAATAACAAATACAGTATCTTGAGATCTAACTTCATCCTAAAATTATTGTTCGTTTTTTAAAAACCTTTTAATTAATTAGCTATTTGAATTTCAAGAATAAATTAAATATATCAAAATTCATTTATAATGAATTTTGTTTGAATTTCTTTGATCATTCTTTATATACATTATTTTAACTTACAGACATAGCAAAATCAAGAACTTTTTTCAGTATGGCCTCATTTTTGGAGGATCCCATGGCTCTGCAAATTCTATCTTTCTCTTCATGTAAATCAGTTCCTCTATAAAGCTAAACAAATTTTTTTTTTAAATAATAACATTTTACAATTATTTCAGAACTAAATTACTTGTAACAGCTGATTAAAAGTAGTTTCATCTCCATTAGATAAGCATGCTTTATAAATAGGACTTCTTAAATCGGCAACAATAGTTTCTTTTCCACTTAAATGGTTAGCAAATCTAGTTTTAGCTTCAACTATAGTATTAGGATCAGCACTTAATACTAATCTTGCTATAACTAAACCACGCAACAAAGTTTCTAAATGGCTTTCTTTAGGTTTTGGGTTCCATCCTAATTTTGCTGCTATTTTTTTCAAAAGAATTCTACTATATTGTTTAAATAGCTGTTCAGTTTCTCCTTCTACATTAGATAATAATATAGAAAGTTTTCCAAGTAAATTGCTCATTGTTGACCATACAGAATAGTTATCTTCATCAGTCATAGCTAACATTAAGTCTAATACTTCATCAGTTCTAGATAAACCAGCTTGAACAAGAGCTGAAAGATCATCTAATAATCCAAGACGATCTAGAGGGGGTAATGTTTTAGATGATATTGATGGAATGAAATTTTTCAATAATTTAGGAGTATAACATGTTCTATAATATCCAACAGTACTGGGATTTACTTTTAACCATTCTCCAGGAGCAATAATATTAGCTGGAATAGTTATAGTTGTTTTATATTTATCCATTATATCTTTATGACATACTATGTTTGGATTACGTGAGGTAGAAAATGTTAATGGAACCATCCATAAGGAACCTTTGTCTATGATTATATATAACAAAAATTATTTTAATGTAGTCTAAGTCAGTTAAATAAAACAATGATTTAGTTTTTACCATCAACTTGCCCATCAGCTGTAAATTTTCTTTGAGAAACAGTTAGTACTCGAGAACCATCAGAATTTTCTTCTTCTTTTTCAATAGTAATAACAGGAAATCCTTTTTGCAAAGTCCAAGTTGACATCACGGCCTTCACAGGCTTGTTACTAGCTTCTTCTAATGCTGCCCATAAATCTTCAGTAAATGTATTACTATATTGATGTTTAGTTAAGTACAAATTCATCCCTTTACGAAAATCCTTGATAATAGAAATAACAAATTTTACATGAAAAAAAATTACAATTTTAAAGTCATTATTCACTTACTTCATCACCTATAAAATTGTGCAGCATTCTTATTACTGATGCTCCTTTATTATAAGAAATATCATCAAAAATTTCATCAATTTCAGAGGGATGGCCAACAGGGATTTCAATAGGATGACTATTATTAAGAGCATCTAATTCTAAAGATCTTATGTAAGTATCAGTAACAAATTGGGTCCAAATATCATATTCTGGGAACAAGTATTCAACACATAAGAACTCTACGAAAGAAGCATATCCTTCATTTAACCATAAATGAGTCCACCATTCCATTGTTACTAAATTCCCAAACCACTGATGTGCTAATTCATGTCCTACAACTAATGCTATCCATTGTTTACGGACAGCAGAAGTATTAGCTGGGTCAACTAAAAGACAGGATTCTCTATAAGTCACAAGACCCCAATTTTCCATAGCACCTGATAATAAAAGTGGATTATATTAATAAACAACAGCAACAGTAAGTAATTATTATTGATTAAAATATAAAATTTAATCTTTACACGATATGAGATAAATATTATAATCATTAACTTTATTTATTGATTAAGAATTGAAGATTTGAAATAATGATTTGAATTTTATATACCAGATGAAAAGTCCGCAATAGCAATTAAATCCATTTTTGGAAGAGGATAAGCTACTTGGAAGTAATCTTTGTAGTATGGTAAAGCACATTTTGACACCTCTAATGCAAATTTTCCTTGTTCACTTTTGCCAACTGGTGTATATACTCTTATTAAAACTCCATCAGAATCTTTATCTTCAACATAATCAAATTCACCAACTACTACTGCTACTAAATATGTTGACATAATAGGTGTTCTTTGAAATTTTACTAAACGATCACCATTTTCTTCAATTACATCAGATATTACAGGCTAAAAAATAATTCATTAATTTGATATTTTAATTACACTATGAATAATACAGTTATAAAATATCATTTATTATTAAGAAATTATTCAAGTGTTTATTTACCATGTTGGAAAGAGCCGTCTTTGAGTTGGGCACAGATAACAAAATATCAAATTCAGCCTTGATTGCCGGCTCATCCCAACAAGGAAAACACCTTCTAGCATCAGTTGCTTCAAATTGTGTAACAGCTGAATAATGTTCCTCTCCGCTTGGACTTAACAAAAAAAAAAAAAAAAAAAATTAAAAATGTATTCTTACCATGTTTGTTAAAACTTGTTGAGAGATGTTACTAACAGCTACAGATATATCAAACATAGCCTTCAGAGCAGGTTCATCCCAACAAGGGAACATTCTACGCGCATGTGTTGTACATAACATTGTAACCGCAGCATATAATTCGACCATATGGCCGGATTCATTTTTTCTATGTAATTTTTTGTTTGCCAAATAAATTATGGTAAAAACTTACCAAACAAAAAGACTTCTTAAGAAACTCACCTAATATATTTGCTGCGATAAAATCCTTTCATTTTATCATTAAGTTCACCCACAAACACAAATTTTAAAAATGCTTCACCCATTTTTAATTCTTTTTCAAAATTCAAAGTTAAAGTTTCATCTATAGAAGAAATTGAAATGGTTGGTTTGAGTATAGATCCATCATTTTCTTGTAGTTCAACATCTTCAATTTTTAAATCTAATGCATGTAAAGTAATCACTTTGGTTGACTCAACTACCTAATTTAAAAGTTACACAATAAAAACACAATTTAATTATAATTTATTAATGTCTATTATATACTGATAAATATTATAGAGATGAAATTAAAAATTAAGTAACTCTAGATTCAATTGAGTGAATTTTAAAGAAGGGATAAAGGGACTAAGATAGTATTAAACTAACATATTAGCTTAATTAATAATAAAAAGTCAATAAAAATTATAATTATAGATTAGATGATATCTTAATTATATTTTTTAGTATCGCAATTTAAATATAAATATCATTGATTTATAGTTATGAAATAGCATTTTAATAAAATGTATTTTTACTTACATATAAAGAAATAGTTTCTTTGCCTTCAAAAGTGAATTTTTGCAAGTCAGGTTTTAAAAACAAGTCATACAAGACAGGCTTCACATTTTGAGGCAACCGCTTGAAATTTTTTTTATCTGTTGCCATCATTAAATTATCTTTTGTGTAGAATGTTTGGCTTAAAATTACTTTTCTGTATTTGAAAAAAAAATAAAACAGACAATTGATCAAGATAAATAAAGACCCTAACTCATGTTTTATTATGATATAAAGTAATGTCTCTTAACACTCGCACACACGCACGCACACACACACACTCTATAATCATCTATTAACACACTAACACAATTTTAGGAAATCTCCACTTCAGACTCCAATTGAACATAACGGGAAATTGTGTATGCGGTTTTAATGAACCTATCAGTACTTGAAACCAGAAAGTTTGACAAGTTAATACATAAAATTTATTTAAGTTTAATATAAAATGAATATAAAATATACTACCAATTATTTTAAGTGAATATTGTCTCAGTATAAATAACAGAAGAAAATCATAAACTAGTTAAAAGCAACAATTTTATTGAATAAAAATATAAAATATTCAAATATATTTCAATACAAAGTATGAAAAATGAATTGTATTAAATGTATGTTGTATTTTAATGTTACTATTATAATAACAACCTAAACATGTAATTTTTCACTCACTTATATATAATTTCAAACAAAATTTAAAAAAGTATATCGATTTATTCGTATGTCTTAAGACAAGAGTGTCATTTATAAGATTTATAAATTAAAAAAAAATTGAAGAATAACTACAAATTATTACGGCAAAAAACAAAATACACAACACGTAATTAGTATGTGGAACAAACTACTCAATGCGGTGGCCGCTTCTAATCGTAATATGCAACTTGTAAGTAAGAATGTGATGTCTCATTGGTTTGAGATTAGTTTGATACAGTCAGACCATAGTTCAGGTATAATACACAAAAAATGGTCACACTATTATAACACAGATAATATAATCCCAGATGGTGCACTTTTTTATTTACTGATAACTCAATCATGCTTCAAATCAGTGACACTACATATAAGCAATTAATTTATTGTACAGCACCTTTTACTATAATTATTGTATTAAATAATTGGATATGCATTTATAATTTACCTACATCAGTCTTTTTAACTTTATTGCAGATTTCCTTATTCGATTTTATCTAATCTGTTAATGAATGCTAAATATGTTTATAATATTTACACTTCAATAAAAAGTATCTTCTGAACACATTTTTTAAAATATTTTCTTGTACTTTTTTTTTACTACAATTTTTAATTTTTTTTTAGTGAAAATAAATTACATATCTAAGTAAACATCATTAATACTTAATGGTTAATTGTTTAAGTCTATTATTTATTAAGCAGTAAATAATTAAAATAAAAGTGAATATAGACTCATTATGCAACACAGATGAAGTGCCTCGCAAGTAAAATAAAAACAAGAAAAGGAAGGAAAAGTAAAATATTTTGCTCTATGTACTGGACGAAAGCTCATTTATTAAAATTTTCAACATCTTCAAAAAAAAAAACTCAGCACGAGAGGTCGTGGCACAGTGGTGAAGTGACATACTTGGATCAAGTATAATGATATCTGACAGTGATTAAAATCACTATCATAAAAAACAATTCGATGCATATCTTTAGATAGTGTTTAATTTTAAAAAATTGGTGGATTATTCCAAAAGCTACATGAAATGCTATTTCTTTATTTAAAACCTGATTAAGATAAAGTATGTCGAATGAATGATGTATATAAATACTACTTCTCATGAAAAAATTGTATTGATCCATACATTTTTTAAAAAGTTATAGCATTTTAAAGTTAAAAATGTAAAATATAAAATCGAGAATTTTTACACAAAAATAACATTTGGTAGCCATTTTCACCGTGAAGACAAAATAAAGTCCGAAATTTTTTTTCTCCATAATAAAGTACATTACATTAGCTTTAATTTAAGATATATATAAAAGTGTCTGACTTTCCGGAACACTTTCAAAAGTTAAGTTGAAAATGTTAATTTTTTGTGAAAAAATTGTCTTTTTGAATCCCTCCCTGTAGGCAAGTAAACGGTCAGATTTATAATAAAATATACCAAATAAAAGGTTACCTCATGTATCTATAAATAAAATTATATTTATTTGGTCATTTTTTAAGAAGTTATGGCAGTTTTAAGTAAAGAAAATTTCGAAAATTAGCAATTTTTTAATTTTAAATTTTTTTGGAGGTTCTCCCATTTAAGGGGAACGAGGGAAATTTTTTCAATTTTTGAGGGTAATGTCTTCGACTAGATACGATTTGTGATCTATTGACGTATCGTTGAAAGAAATCGGTCTGCGAGAGCTGAGAAAAAAAGGTAAAAGATACAAAAAAAAAAAAATTAAAATAAAAAAACACATAGTAAAACGAATAGCTTCTCAGCTTCGCATGGAAGCTAAAACAGTTGTATTGTGGAGAATCATATTTTAGTAATTTCAATAATAAATTTAAACCAGTAATGGAAACTAACCAGCCTTTTGTACATTTTATTCAACTAGTTACATTTTTTTTTGTTTTTATCAAAAACTTTTAAGTTTGTTAAGTAATAACATATAATAAATGTGAGTTTTGAGCTTTAGAATTTTTTAACGATCTATACTAAATTCTTTTAAATTAAGTCTTTTATAAGAATTAAAAATATCAAACAATTTATCCATATCTTTTAAAAAATAAAGTTGGTTTTGAAGAAAATGGTAATTTATTAAAAGCTAAATAAGTTTCATGTCGGATGCAACAATTACAAAAAAAGTTTGAGTCGCTTAGTAAACCCTTAATTTTGAAATGCATTAGGATATATATGTGGGTCTGTTAATTTTGGAGCTAAATGTAAATTACAATTACTGTAATGGTTATAAAATGAGTCAAGATATTTTTTTCTATAAAATATTCATTTATTTTAGAAACATATTACTTGTAGCTTTCAAAATATGAGATGGATCAAAAAGATACACAATTTTTTTATTATTAACGTCAAAATATGGTCAGTTTTACAATATTTTACATCAAATTTGAGGTATGAAATACTTTTATTATTGTTCATAATTTAAAAACAAACTGCACAATAAAATTGGAGCAAAAATTAACAATAAATAAATAAATTTTGAAGTAAAAAATGGATATCCGTTTTTCAATATTGTTAAGGTGAAACGAAGCTGGGAAATATTGGTAAATTTGGCGCGCTTGCAACGGTATCATTACAAGCAATAAAAGTCAGTAATGCATAATTGAAAAACAATAATTTCTCATAGACCTTTTTTTTTCTATGAGTGGCGTTACTGATCTGAGGCAAGTTTTGGTTTTTTTATATTTTTGAGAATTACACGTCTTGAATAGAAAGTGAACTATTTGGTTTTATCTTATCTGTGGTTATATTTTGAAATCAACAAAATATAGTTATGAAAAATTGATAACTTAAAAATGGATTTATCAAGATAAATCCATATTAGATAATGTACGATGATAGATAATACTTATCATAAATCGTGGATAACGCTAATAAATATATTGATAAAACTTGATATTTTAACATCCCAGTTTAAAATGCATAAATAAGCAATTTGAATACTTTTTTCATACACATTTTAAGCTGAATATTTTTATTCTAAGATAGCAATTATATTCTTAATAAAAAGGTATACATATTAACATTAGCATTATTAACATATTAAAATTATGAACCGCCCTCGTAATCAAGCTGAACATGAGCTTAAAGCAAGAGCTCGGATATATGTTGCAAATATACCCCAAGCCGGCATGTCTAGAAAAGAAGTTGTTTCTGTATTTCATAAATATGGAGAAATTGACAGTAAGTTATAAGTATCCATTAAATTAAAGTTTTATCTATATCAAGTACCATGTTCCATAAAACATAAATTTGTTACATTTTATATGAAGTTGTGACAAGCTTTTTAAAGTAATCAAATACTTTTTTGATAGTCTAAGTATATTTTGTTAAATGAATTTTGAAAACTTTTTTGGTAATGTTGTATTGCTTTGTAATTAAAATATTAAATACTTTTTTATATAGCATACCTATGGTCTAATGCAAACTATATTCTTGAGTATTCCTTGTAAACAGTACTTTTTTAAAAGAAAAAATGAGCTATGAAAATTTTGAAGAAGTTAAGTTTTTAAAATGCAACCAAATGTTGCTGTAAAGAACAAATAATTTCAAATCAATATAATTTGATTTTAAAATTATTATCAAATTAATTTATTATATTATAATAATTATTTGTTTTTTTCATAGGAAAAGACATATTTATTGTTAAAAAAAACTATTGGTATTTGAATATATTTTGATATTAGTATTTAAATATGTATTTTAAATACATTTTAAAACTTTTTTTATTAAATCTGAGTCTTTGGTTTTAAATTTTTTTAAATAAATAAAAAACCATTAAACCATTATTATTAATTCTTTCAGATGTTTCCTTGCAAACTAGACATGTTTTTGTTCAATTTGTGGATGAATCATCAGCACTTAAAGCACTTGCTCAAAATCCACCAGATTATATAATGAGCAAAAAACTTGGTATAGATATTACATATATTTTTTGTAATTATTTTGCTATCAGGGCTTTTATATTGTAATACTCTCAGTGCTTTCATATACCTATAATAAAGTTGAAATATAAAAGCAAAATTAATTAGAAAGCGATTTTGAAAATTAATTTTAAGTAATCTAGTATTATTTTTTTAGATGTAAAACCAGTTCGACCATTTTTTTATAGAAATGGCGAACTTGTCAAGAATGAAAGAGCAACTAATTTTGATGCAAATGAAAAAAGGTAATAGTATTTTTTTTTAATTTTAATTTTAATATTTTTCATGAACTAATAAATATTTTAAAATAATGAACTATTTAACTACATTTGGTAGTAAATTAAAAAATTGTATAAGTAGTATATATTGTTATCTTTAAAAATCAAATTTTAAAAATGTTAAAAAAAATTGTTTTTTTTTCTTAATAGAGACAAATAATAAAAAATATATTTTTTAACTTAATTTAAAACTGTATAAATAATTTAAACCAAAAAAAAAAACATGGTAGGTCATTTGTTTTGTTACACAAATTTAAAAAATATATTTTTAAGTTAAATTATAATTTTTAGGAATGAAAACAGAATTCAACAAAGAGATACGTAAGTTTACCATCTATATTTCAATAATAAATAAAACAAGCACAGAATTAAGAGGAAATTTTATATAAAATTTTGTTGGACAAAGTAAAAATAATAAAACACAAGTATACTTTATTTTTACATATTCCGGTAAAAAATTAAATAATACTTCAAAAAAAAAAAAATTGATTATAACATTTTTTTTTCAAAATTCTTGTTCAAAAAAGTAAAATATCCAATGATTTCTGTGATAAAAAATGTTGTCACTTCAATGTATAGTGAAAAATTATGACTTGTGTACATTAAATAAAAAAAAAAAACAAAAGTCTTACACAATGGAAATTTAAAGCATATCTGAATAACTTCCTTTAAATTTTAGCTTCGATGCAAAGCTGAGAAGGTATTAATTTTACTATGATATTTATTTTTGTGTCTATTACCACTTTTTCTCAGCTATCACCAAACCGATTTCTTTCAACGATCATCAAAAGGTCACAAATTGTATCTAGTCGAAGAAATCACCCTCAAAAATTGAAAAAATTTCCCTCGTTCTCCGTAAATGGGGGAAACCTTCGAAAAAATTACAAAATTTAAAAATTGCTAATTTTTTCAATTTTTTCAATTTTTTTTAATTAAAACTGCCATAACTTTTTAAAAAATGACCAAATCAATATAATTTTTTTTATAGATACATGAGTTATTTACCTTTTATTTGGTATATTTTTAATAAATCTGACAGTTTACCTGCCTACAGGGGGAATTCAAAATGACAATTTTTTCCCAAAAAATTATCATTTTTAACATAACATTGAAAGTGTTCCGGAAAGTCTGACACTTTTATATATATCTTAAATTAAAGCTAATGTAATGTACTTATTGAAAAGTGTATAGATCAACACAATTTTTTTATGAGAAATAATATTTATATCCCTTTTTCATTCGACATACTTTATCTTAATCATGATATTCATAAGGAAATATCAGATCATGTAGCTTTTGGAATTATCCTTCAATTTTTAAAATTAAACGCTATAGATTTGCATCAAAGCGTTTTTTATGATAGTGATTTTAATTACTATCAAATATCATCTATACTGGACCTAACTATGCGACGTCCCCACTGTGGCAGGTTCCCACTGTTTTGGGTTTTTTAAGTTATGTTTAGTTTTTAATTATTTGAAATATATCATATAATAAAATATCAATAGTATTAGAATTATATTTAATTGAAATTAAAATGTATGATTCTTTATTTTTTAGTTATGATGATTTTAGGCAGGGTAAAACACTCATTAATCCAAATCTCATGAATCCAAATGCTCCAAATGATTGTGAAATTGTAGTTACAAATAGTTCATTGACGTAAGTGTTAATTTTTGTTATACAAAAATGGCTAGTATTGAAAGGAAATTTCTTATCTAATTAAAAATTTTTAATCTTATTTTAGTGAATATGCTGAGTTTCTAGAAGTTAACCTTAAAAAGCTAAACATGAAAGTTGATTTATTGTTTCCAAATCCTGATATACCTATAAATCGTGTTCTTGGAACATTAGCTCAAAGAGGAACTTTATATGTATTAGTTGTGAGAGAAGAAAACAAACAATATAGAAGTGTTACTGTTGATATACTGCATGGAATTCCAGAAGGTAATAGCTAAAATTGACTCATATATCATAATTTATAAACAATACAGGACAACAAATATTGATAAATTTTCTATTGTCTACAACAATTATGAGAAATCCATAAGAAGTTTTGATGTTAATTCTAAATCTGGCTTCAGATTTTATTCATTGTACTTAGTTTTTGAAGTAATTACTAATTACTAATTAAGCAATAATTAAATAGTAAAGTATTGAAATATAATTTTTTGTTTCTAGCAAATGTCTATTAAACTCAAATTTAAATGTATATAAATCAGTTAAAATTAAAAGACATATCCTAAATTTTGAACAATTCTTATATCATCAAAGTTAAAAAAAAAATATTTTTCATTTTTTAATAATGATTGACTAATAATAATAATTTTTTAATTTTTCCTTAATTATTAATTATTATTTTTTTAAAATCTATGTATAATAAAAAATCAGATATCAGATTTGAATTCAGCATCAAAAATCCCTACAGACTTCATCTAAATATTTAACAGCAATTCTAGCTATTGTCCTGTGTAATTAAATTATAAGAAAAATATTTATGTTATGTTACTTCTGATGTATTTATTTATAGAACACAGAAATATGCCATATAAAGATGCTCTTACATTAATTGTTCATAGTTTTGATGCATATATGAGGGGAGAAAAAATGGCTCCAATTCCTGGTGTAACTGGTATTCCTATATCTGAATGTGGTATTCCACTGGGGGATAAACATCCTGAAGGTATAACAACACTATTAAATTTACTACAAGATCAGAGAGATCTTACTGTACTACAATATGATATGGTAAGATTACAAATTAATTAATCCTGCAAATTTAATATATTTTTCGAATTACTTTGTTTTTCTTTATTTAAAATTAAGATACTGCAATATTTAAAAGAAAAAAAAGAAGAACACATTAAAGAAGAAGTTGGCGTTATTCCAAATTTCAACAAAACTGGTATGATTTTATTTATTGATAAATAAATTATCGTTGCATTCAATATAGAGGGATAGTATAAAGGAAAATGAGACAAATGATGTTCCAATTTTTCTTTAATTGAATAACTTTACCTTATATTAATTATTTTAGTTTCAGATGTACCTATTCTTCCAGCTGCAACAGCTATTCAAAATCCACAAGCTGCTCAACTTCAAAATCGCATTTTAAGTATTCTTAATACATCTTTATCATCCAATTCGCAAACTACATCAACAACTGAACCTAATCAAACTGAAAAAGATTCAACTAGTATTCTAAAAGAACCTAATATACAAAAAGCATTGGAAAGTTTATTCCATGGGGGGAACTTACTAAGGAAATAATTATTACAGTTTAACTATATTTTATTAGTAGACAATATTATTTAATTAATTTTTTTATTGTGTGATTATAATAATTTATCATTATTATTTCTTATGATTCATTGTTTTTTTAGCATTTAAATTCATAAATATATGATAGAGAACAATACTTAATTGTTATTATTCTATACATTAATTACTTTTTTGTTTGAGTATATCATATTTTTAATCATACAGCATAATTTTTATGTGTAAATTAAAAGTAGTATTTTGTATATATCTTCATTATGTATATATTTTTGTAACTTCTAGTTTATAATAAATAAATATTTGAAATTTCATTATAAAAATTAAAAAGTTTCATATTAATAGTTTATTTTTATTTCTAAGTTTTGTTTAATATTTTAACTATTAGTTTTTTTTTTCATGGATTTTAAATTAATTTTCAACTTTTTTTTTATTTAATTAAAATTAATAGAAATTATTCTATTTATTATTATTAAAAACTATGGAGACTGGCTGTTAGATTACAAATTTTATGTACATAATTGTATGTATAATTTATTGTACTAAAGCTGTGAAATTTGTAAATTAATTTATTCAATTGGAGTTGTCATTAGGAAATTTAGTATTTTGATTGTATTCAGGATTTTAAACAACTATACCTTGAAGATTATTTGGTATTTAGTTTATAAATACATTTGTTACCCAGTACATCTCATGCAAACAGAGTAATTGATACATTGTGGGTTCACAATAAACGACTCGAATATTTGCAAAATATATTTATTATTGGAAAAACAATTTTTGATTTTTTTTAATTACAAATAATTCTTGATTTATCAGCTAATAACTACTTCTTAGAATCATCCCTTTTAACTTATAGGGGTGTCAACTTTATTTTTTCTAATGGAAACATACATACATAACAAGATAATAAATTAGGAAATAATCTAATAAAGAATGTTACTGGTCGATAACAATTATGGACCAATATTTCAAAAGGTATTAACAATTTAAAGTAATGACTGAAGGTGTGGAGTGAGTTCTATTATTTTTGTCACTAGTCATTTTCCGGCCATACTCTTCGTCCCGCCTAGGTATAAAAACGACAATAACATCCCAAGTACTGGTATAAAAGTTGTTATCAACCAGTAATTTTTTTCATTAGACAATTTTCTATTTTATTAGTTAATTCAATATATATGTTACCATTTAAAAAAATAAAGTTGAAACTTCTATAAGTTATATAGGGATGATCCTGAGAAGTCATTAATAGCTAATAAATCATAAAATATAAGTAACCAAAAACAACTAAAATTTTTTTTCAGTATTGTATATTATTTTGAATATGGCCTTTGGTATATTAAATTATTTAATGTAATGCATTTTTTTTTTTATAATTCAATGAAAATTGATTTTTAGCTTCGATGCAAAGCTGAGAAGGTATTAATTTTACCATGAAGTATTTATTTTTATTTTGTGTGTCTATTACCACTCGTATCGGCTATCATTAGACCGATTTTTATGAAGAATATGTCATAAGATCACAAATTGTATCTAGTCGAATACATTAACCTTAAAAATTGAAAAAAATTACCTCGTTCCTTGTCAATAGGGGATATCCCTAAAATAATTACAATTTTAAAAACGGTAACACAGTGGGGTCGTGGCACAGTTGGGACGACTATAAATGATATCTGACAGTGATTAAAATCACTATCATAAGAAACGTTCTAATGCAAATCTGTATATAGTGTTTAATTTTAAGAAATTGGTGGATCATTTCAAAAATAAAATTAACTCTTATTTTTTTTTCTACTTTGACTGCCATTTGCAGATAGATACACAACTTTTAGTACATAAAATAAACCTTAAATATTTTAAGATAAACAAACTAAAAATAAGCTTTAATTTGACATACGTTTCAAGGACGCAGTATTTTCGGAACATTTTCAAAAGTTAAATTGAAAAAAATAGTTTTTGAAAAAAGTTGTTATTTTAAATCCACCCCTGTAAGCAGATTAAGTATTAGATTTTTCAATAAAATGATATCAAATAAAAGAGAAATATCTAAGATTTCAATAAAAAAAAAAACCCAGCACAGTGGGGTCGCGGCATAGTGGGGATGTTGCATAGTTGGGTCCAGTATAGATTTAATCTGACAGTGATTAAAATCACTATCATAAGAAACGCTTCGATGCAAATCAGTAGATAGTGTTTAATTCTAAGAAATTGGTGGATAATTACAAAAGCTACATTATCTGCTAGTTTCTTATTAATACCCTGATTAAGATAAAGTATGTCGAATGAAAAAGGGATTATTAAAAAATATTATTTCTCATAAAAAAATTGTGTTGATTCGTACACTTTTCAATGAGTTATAGCATTATAAAGTTAAAAATGTAACCAACCCAACCCAACATCAACTCCTATTTCCTTAATTATATCCAGATTAGTAATTATTTTAATTATATATTATATAATTTTTATAATTAATTATTTTCAAATTATTATTGATTTTTAATATGTTAAAAGTAATCATTTTGAACCTACTTCTTTTTGTTCTTTAAAGTGAAAGTTTTAATAAAAAAAAAATGAATTTATTACCATAACTTTTAACTCAACTTGCAAGTTTGAAATAAATATTATTAAATAGAAAAAAAT